GTCAAAAGAGAGGAGGACCAGATAAGAAAATTAAAACAAGAAAGAGAAGGAAAGAAGGAAAGAAAAACAATAAGATGCCAGCCAGTGTCATTTCTAAAGAGACCATTAGTGAATGAAGCCATCACTTTTCACTGGTGTCAGTTACTATTAACCCAGAGTACCCAGGGGCAAAGGTAAGAGAGTAGAACACACCCTTGAAGAAACATTAAAGCAGAAGTGAGTGGGTTGACGCAGTCTGGGATTTGGCTGTGTTTGGAAGGCTCCTTGTGAGATGGGGCATCTCTGAGTAGAGGAGGACCTCCTGTCTGGAAGCACCTTATATTGCAGAGGGTATTACAGATGGGAGGGCACAGCTGGCAATGTGTTGTGTCCCTCACTTTTGTGTTCATTTCTTTTTTTCTGAATGAAAAGGGATGGTAAGGACCTGCAGGGGCAGAGTGGCTCCTTAGCTAATCTCCAGCAGTCAGGTTTTCCTTCTATCCATCTCCCTCATGTCTGTCTTGTGTGTAAAACACTTGGTACCATGCTTAGCACAGAGCAGATGATTTTCTTGCTCTATGAGAACTGCTAGGGCAGACCACTGTCATGCAACAGACCCACACTGCAGACCCCAAAGACCGTCTCCAGTTTCCTGTAAAAAGCAGCTTCAGCCTCTATGTGGGTTTTCTAGTAAGGGGAGCAGCGCCTGCCTCTGACATGAACTCGGTTGCTTGGTCTTTGATCACCTCTCCCTGGCAGGGCAACCTTGCCAGCCCACAGAGGAAGAGGATCCAGGCAGTCCTGATGAGACTTGATAGGCTACTGTCAGATAGTAGGGGAGGAGGACTCCCCTTTCAGTGGACTAGGGGAGGGGCATAAGGAGGGAAGAGGAAGAGAGGGTAGCTCCAGAAGGGGATGGAGGGGACTACAATTGGGATCCAAAATGAGTAAATTGTAAAAATTAAAAAAATATTACACACACACACACACACACACACACAAGAGTCACTAGCATGATGAGAAACTGCACCACATACATCCCATGGATTGAAAATCTGGACTCTATGGCCATCCTGAATGTTTGTTTCATATATGATCAGACTCATCTCCTCCCTCCTCCTCACCTGGAGCTTCATGCTAGAGACAGTTCTGTTGTCAAACTAGTTGGATTACCTGCCAGTTCAGTCCATTGATTTAAGGTTAGGAACTATTAATTCTCTCCTTCAGTACATGGTGAGGCTGGGCCTGGAAGTTAATGGGGCCAGAACCCAGCATCTTGCTGCTACCAGTGGTTCCTGTGACTGGTCTGTATGTGTGTGGAGAACTAGCGTCTGTCCATTGTCTGAGGAGATCAGAGCAAGCCAGTTGCCTGTAGTGACATTCAAGACTGGCAATTACCCAACACAATGCCTATACACCCTCAAAATTTAATGCAGAAATCAGGTGTGTTGTGAAAGGGCTTGGAGAGGCTTTAATTTTCTCAAGTGTCTAAGGCTCCGTGCTGACTGGAGTGTCCCTAGCACAAAAGCCCTGCCCATCATGTGGTTTGTTGAATACAACACTTAGCCCAGCTGTGCAATCTTCCCAGACAGCTCCACAATGGGGCTCAATCAAGGCTCAGAGGCTCTCCCCCATCCCTCAGACCCACTGCTTTCTTCTTCCTGGGAACAGAAGGAGTCCATTGTTGGGTGTTTCTCTGATGCTCAGCTTTGGCTGATAGAAAGTACCTTCTGCCACCTGTGCCCCTTGTTGGTTCTGCTCTTGATCCTTGCAGCCCAGGTTTCTTTCTTCTTTTCATTCTTTGTTTTTTGGCAGAGGAGTCAATAGACAACCACTCTCCTGTTTTGTCCTCCCCTCTGGCAACTCAAACAACAAAACCGTTCCTCTGCAAATTTGGAAATTTCTGCTTAAACTGCCAACCTGTGAGACTCTGAGGTCCATTAAGTCTTTCTTGTAGTGGAAGAGCTGAGTGAGCTGGGACTCTGCTCCGCAGGTATTAACTGGCAATTGAAAGGTAAATGCCCCACTTAGACAAACAGCTCAGAGGAGCAAGGCTTACTTTTGCCTTAGTATATCTAGGAAGAATGAGCAGGTATGTGTCTTTGACCTTCCTTAGTGGTGTTTGGAGAATCATAGGGGGAAGTACTTAGAAAAAAGAGGCTTCACAATGGATCCAGGTAGGGGGTGGTTGGGCTGCTATGGGAATGCTGCACTTTCTGCAAGAGTTATCACAACACATGAGGCTCTGCTGCTCTTGAGTGGGGCCACCATAGAGCACAATAGTCTGGCACTTGGACCCATAGGACTACTACAGAATTGCAGGGCAGTTCTGCAATGTGGAAGAGCCAGTAGTCTTTTCTACAAATGGCTCAAACGATAGCAGCTCTTGGGCCTGATTCTGTGCAGGTATCTGAGTCAGGAGGTACACCTACTTCATTTAGGATGGCATCTAGGAGCCTAAGTTGGACAGTTCTGAACAGGCAGGTAAAGGAATTTTGCAGAGTGCTGAGGTACAATGAATAAAGACTAATGTCTCAAACAGCAGTGCTAGACAAGACATCAGATAGCTTGAGCCCTCAAAGGTTGGAACAGTTCTGGTCCATGGGGGTTCATCAGAAACCAGTCCCTTATACCCCTAAGGCTAGTGAATACTATCTTCCTGATAAGTTGGTTTCTTGCAGAACACTCACTAGGGGGCTGGTTATGGTATGTCTGTCAAAAGATTAAACTGAGTCTCTTGTATAGAAAAAAAAAATTATATAAAAAGGCCATTTGGCATTTCCTGGGAGAATAATCTCATGCTGATTAATGTGATTATAATGATTAATGTGATTATAGCAGTTTATATGTGTTGCTGGCACTGAGAATTGGTTTTGCAGCATAGACTAATAGCTCCTAGATGCTAATGTTTCTTTCTATTGATTTTATTTTTTATATTTTGGCTGCATTCTTGGGATCATGCTTGACTCTCCTTTCTGTACAGGCTCTGCAATAAATGTGTCTTGTTCTCCTCCATTTTGCTTTTATTTTCATCCTCTAGTGACTGATGTACAACAAACCACCACAAACTTAGGGATGAAAAATGACAAATGCGAGATGACTCATGGGGTATTTCAGTTTTATTTTTTCTCCTCTGGCTGTGATTATGCCATGACCACCACAACTTGGGGGAGAAAGGTTTTAGTTCATATTACAGCTTATGGTCAATCAATGACGGGAGTCAAGGTAGGAACCTCGAAGCAGGAACTGAAGTCCAGGAAGGGATGCTTCTTACCAGCTACTCTTGCTGGCTTGCTGAGATTGCTTTCTTATCCAACCCAGCACCAAATACCCAGGGGTGCCAGTGCCACATTTTCAATCACTTATCAAGAATTGGTGCCACATAGACTTGTCTAGAGGCCAATTTGGTGGAATCAAATCAGTTCCTTAGTTTAGGGTCCCTCTACTTGAGATGACTCAAGCTTATGTCAAGCTGACATAAAACTATGCACAGAGAGTAAGGGAATCTGTTGCCAAGGCTGAAGACCTGGGTTCAAACCCTAGAACTTACATGATAGAAGGAGAGAACTGTGTCCTATAAATTGTCCTCAGACTTCCACACATGTGCTATGACACATGTCCACCCCTCCATGCACAAATGAATATAATATAAAAGGACAGGTATACATATATATACACACTATAGCATATATATACATTATATATTATATATACATATATATATAATATAGTATAGTACAGTATAGTATAGTATAGTACTATAGATGTCTCATGGCTATATGATTGATGATAACTTTAAGGCCCACTCAAGCATTTCACAACCAATACTATCTGTCTCTTACTTGGCCTAGAGATTTCCACGGGAGGAGCCTCCTTCAGCACAGACACAACTTTCATACCTTAAAATAAATCCCATCCTTACAAGAAGGCCTTATTTCCTTTCATGGAAGAAACACCTTGTAATAGGTATAGGAACACAGAATGATGTCTAGATCTAGATGGGCAGCCTCCTGTCAGGTGGTGTCAAATGCCTGACTGTATCTAGCTTTTATTACTGGCCCAGCTGCCATATCCTTTTGGGAATCAGACTTGCTACTGGTGTGTTATGAAGCAGCTCCCATATCCATTTTATAAGGGCACTGTCACAATAGACCACTTGAGCCTCAGATTATGTCCAAGATTTACCGTTGTCATAATTCAGACCAGTAGCAAATGCCATTCCAGGAAAGTTGTTTACCTATGTTCACCTGAGTCCCAGAACCCAACAATATGCCGCTGGATTCTGTAGTTCCTCCAACAGCAAGCTGCGAGTAAGTCTTCATTCCCTAAACTGATTCTTCTCAATCATTTTGTCACAGCAATTGAGAAAAATAACAATATATATTCTATTTTTCTGGACATCAGAGAGGCTGGAGCTTGCATGGGTTCTCTTTAGTCCCTGATGTCTGAGGTCTCAGCAAGGAAGAATTTAGCTCTGAGGATGGTTAGAATGGGTGGGTACCTGGGAATACCTGAAAACGTCTTCATCCCCCTGTTGACCTTGATTTTTTTTTAACAAACCTACTTTTTATATGGTTATTAAATGCTTCTACTTCCCTTCCAACCCCTCAACACTGGGCAGGAGAGAAAGAAGGTTAGTGGAGATAGGGGCGGAGTTCTCTCTGCTACTTCCCACTGGGTAGGGTCGTAGGATTCTTTTGGGGCCAATTCCAATATAGTCATCCAGAAATCCAGAAGGCCAGGTAACCAGCAAATCAGCAAACAGCAAATGCAGCAGGAGATAGAACCAGCAGGAAGCAGTCCTCCAAGCAGCCATGCCTTCTTCCTCTGGGCTGTCATATTTATACCCCTCAAAATCCTCAGAATTCAACTAATCTGCCTGGCAAAAACCACATTCTGCACGAGAGACTTAACAGGTGTGGACAAACTAAAATCCCCAACTTGGAATTTAAACACAAACATGTTTACATATCCTAAACTGTCCTCCTATCTATTTTTCTCACTTGGAACTCCCCCCTGAGGTCTGTCCAACCCAGCAATCCAAGACTTCAGGAAAGAGAGCTGGAGCCTGAGCTTGGAAGACACACTACTGCCACAGTGTTCCAGCTGAAGTGGTCCCTGGCCTCGTAGCTTCAGGGGAAGCAAGGGTGGGGTGAGTATACCAGAACCTGAGGCCATGGTTCCTGACTGCCGTCTCTCTGTACTATTTGCTTGATGCTGCAGCTTCTTCCTTTCCTAAGCTGTTTCTCTTCTCATTGCAAGGAAGCTGCCTCCCTGATTGGGCAGTGCATTCTCTGGTCAGTCTGAGCCTTGTTTTTGTTTGTTTGTTTTTTAGCAGCTTTTAAAATTTTTATTAATTACAGTTTATTCATTTTGTACCCCCCCCCCCCCTGTAGCTCCCTCCCTCCTTCCCTCCCAACCCCACCCTTCCTCCCCTTCTTCATTCATGCTCCTCCCCAAATCCACTGATAGGGGAGGTCTTTCTCTCCTTCCTTCTGACCCTAGCCTATCAGGTCTCATCAGGACTAGCTGCCTTGTCTTCCTCTGTGGCCTGGTAAGGCTGCACCCCATCAGGGAGAGGTGGTTAAAGAGCCAGCTACTGAGTTCATGTCAGAGACAGTCCCTGCTCCCATTACTATGGAATCCACTTGGACACTGAGCTGCTGTGGACTACATCTGTGCAGGGATTCTAGGTTATCTCCACGAATGGTCCTTGGTTGGAGTATCAGTCTCAGAAAACACCCCTGTACCCAGATTTTTTGGTTCTGCTGCTCTCCTAGTGGCACTCCTGTCCTCTCCAGGTCTTACTATCTCCCCCTTCTTTCATAAGATTCCCTACACTATGCCCAAAGTTTGGCTATAAGTCTCAGCATCTGCCTTGATACCCTGCAGGGTAGAGCTTTTCAGAAGCTCTCTGTGGTGGGCTCCTATCCTGTTCCCTATTTTCTCCCTCTTCTGATGTTCATCCTCTTTGCCTTTCTGATTGGGGATTGAGCATCTTAGCCAGAGTCCTCCTTCTTGATTAGTTTCTTTAGGTGTACAGATTTTAGTATGTTTATCCTATATTACATATCTTATATCCACTTATGAGTGAGTATATACCCTGCATGTCTTTCTGCTTCTGGGATATCTCACTCAGGATGATCTTTTCCAGTTCCCACATTGTTCTTTTATTTGTTCTTACTATATGCTTTCTGGGATGGGGTTATTTATTACATAACCCTTCGGAACACCTGTCATTTGGCTGGTGATTATAGCAACAGCATTGGGAAGATCATGCCTAAGGAAGCTTATTCATGGCATTTCCCAGGTGCTCTGCTTCTTTCTTGTGTCTCAGTAGTGTTGTCAGAGGTCACAGTTTTAGAGGCAATAGAGACTACAGAATAGATTGTGGAGTCTTAAGTAGCTCAGCTTTTATTGTACTTCAATAGTTCTTCTCCATACATATTCACATTAAGATATTTATCATGTATGATGACATATTTTCTTTTTATTCTTGGCCATTTGAAAGTGTGCTGCTGTGCTTCCTTAGCCTATATTTAAAGTTTGTAGGGTTGTGCCAATCTAAGTGGCAGGAAAGCAATTTGCCTCGAGCTTAATAGGTAGTAATTGGAAAGGTTATAACCAGGTTTTTCTCAATGTGATTTGCATCTTTGTGGGGATTTTATGTTTGATTGGTTTGACAAAGTAAGTACTCAGTGTGGGTGGCTATGAATGACAGCTGGGGAATCCATGCGAATCTTTTGATAAAAGAACTCTCACATGCTGAAGCAATGAGGCATTGTATATTGTCCCATTGCTATGGATTTTCTCGGGCCTTGTGTGCTGCAAGGGAGAAAAGTACTCTGACAGGAAAATGCCAGGAGTCATCCCAACCCTTCTCTAAAGGTTCTGTGACCTTGGACTGCTCTTTCTAAATGTTAGTTTCCTGAGATTTCAAACAGGGCCAATAACGTCCGTTCTTTAGAATTAGGATTAAATGGTGCCAGCTTTTAATGGTCAGGATGAAATAAAAGAATTTATGGGAAAGTGTTTGTACAGTGCAGTGATAAGATTGGTGGTTGTTCCTTATTGAGCTAAGTCAGGCTTTGTTAACTCAAGGAGACAGAAGGATGATTTTAATGGTCAGAGAATCTGGCTTTCAAGAAAAGTAGGGAGTTGCCTGTGCATTGTCAAAAGACAGCTGTTTCTCCTAATCTGTAAGATGGCTGGGGTCACAGTCAGGTCCTGGTGGCCAGATTTGAAATTCCTAGGCAATTCAGAAATGTGGAGTTTTTAATGAGGATCTTTCTAATGTTTAAATGTGTTATCCATAAACAACAACAACATCATCAACAACAACAACAACACACACACATACACAAACACGGTATAGGGGAAACAGGCTGCCCCTCTTTCTGCTTTGTAACACTAATGTAAGGTTTGGCTTCAAAATGATGCCAAGGGCCAAGAGATGGCTGATCCCTGATAACTATGAATCTTGGAAACAGGAGGTACTGAAGACAGAGTTCTGTCTGCAAAAAGATGGGCCTAACACCAGGAGGCCAGCCAGTTAGACTCATTTACAAAACTCCTGAAAATGGTAATGAGAGTCCTAGAGTATCCAGATAGAAGATAGAAGAATGGAAAGACATGTATGCAAATAAGTGAAATAAAATTTTTGCTGTTTTTGACAAATCACATATAATAATTAACATTAGCATTAAAAGCATAATGCTTACAATAATGATAATGAATGTTGGCATGAATTGTGGGTGTTACCTGGGGTTTGAACCCCTAAGACTGCCTGAAGAACACAAAGTGGGGCTAGGTAAAATGACCTAAAGGAGAGTAAAGTTTACTACTTCATTTCTTATTTTTTTAAATAATTTTCATTTTTATTAATTACAGTTTATTCACTTTGCATTCCCCCCTCTACCTCCCTCCCCCCTCCTCTCCCAACCCCACCCTCCCTCCCACCTGTGTCCCTCTCCCAGTCCACTGATAGGGGAGGTCCTCCTCCCCTTCCATCTGATCCTAGTCAATGAGGTCTCATCAGGAGTGCCTGCATTGTCTTCTTCTGTGGCCTGGTAAGGCTGCTCCCCCCTTCATTTCAAGTTCCAAAACAGTGGTGTCCATGCACCATGACAAGCAATGTAAGCATGTTGTAACACAGAGTACCATGTAAAGCTAGAGATAATATCATATGCAAAACTATGACAAACAAGTTAAGGTGAACTTAAAGAATGCAATTCATTTTGTTTGTTTGTTTTTTCATTTTGGTAATTAAAGGTTTTTTTATGTTTGTATACGAAGTAAGGGGTTTAATCATGGCTTCTTCACACACATATGCTGTGACTCTGTTTTCATGGCAGACTGTGGTTCCCAAGTGCAGTCTGTCTGTACATACCTACTGTTCTTATTCTAGATGCTGTTTTCCTTGCTCTGCCAAACCCTTTTGCTTTCTTATTAGTATTCCATCATAGCCTCTATTTCCTCCTCCATTAGGACTTTCCTTTTTCTTCTCATGATTCCCACTGTAATTTCATGACCCGTGTACACACCCATAAATACACACTCCTAGATACACTCATACTTACAAATCTAAATAGATAATCAACATGTAGGAGACAGTCAATATTTTTCTTACTAAGTTGGGTTGGCTTTGATTGACATAATGATTTCTATTTCCAATCATACCCCTGCAAATGTCTTTTTTTTTTTTTTTCCTGATTGGCTACATAAAGTTTCATATTGTAGCGTTTAAAAAAGTCTCATTGTCTGTTGACAAGCATTTAGGATGGTTAATTTTTTTCTTTTAATAGTGCAGTATAAACACAGATATCTACATATCCCTTTGGCATGCTGACCGAGGCTCTTTTGGGTATCTACCCAAGGAAGGGTTCAACTGAGTCATACAATAGTTCTACTTTTAGTTCTTTGAGGACTCTCCGTACTGATTGCCATAGTGACTGCACAACTTTAAATTCAGACTGGCAAGAAAGAAGAGCTTCTCTTTCTTTGCATCCTTGCCAGCATTCCCTGTGGAAGAGCAATACTGAAAGCATTTGAGTTTCTCTGGTGGCTAAGGGCGCCGAATACTTTTCGAGCATTTGTTGGTATTTTTAAAATTTTGACTGTTTATTTATTGATTAGATGATTTGTGTTTTTGGTGCTTAATGTTTTCAGTTCTTGATATATTCCAAATATTAATCTGTCTGACATGAAGTTGACAAGAATATTTCTTCACTTCCATAGCTCTCTCTGGTCTGGTGGTTGTTTCTTTTCTTAGAAGAAACTTTCCCCTTTCAGGTAATCCTATGTGCCAGTGCTTCCGCTGGTCCCCTGTGCTATTGCCACCATCTCCACAAAATCTTCATCTACGCTCATCTCCTGAAATAGTTCATCTATGCAGACCTCGTACAGCTTCAAATTTTCAGACAGTACATTTACATTTTTGGTGTATTTAGAATTGATCCTTCTTATGTTGAGGGATATGGAGCTAGTTTTGTTTTTTTTTTTACATGTTAAGATCAGTTTTCTCAGCACCGTTGTGAAACGTTTTTCCCATATGTTTTGAGTACCTTTGTCAAAAACAAGGTGACAGTTTGTGTGGCTTTATCACTGGGTCCTCTGTTCTATAGTACTGATCTTCATGCCTCCATTGTGGCAGTAACACATGTTTTGTGACTATGGCTGCACTATACAATTTGAAATCAGTTATTGTTTCTGCATTTCTAGCATTGCTCTTTTTGTGATGAATCACTTTGGACTTTTGGGACCTATGTGCTTCATTGGAATTTTGATGGAAATATCTTTGAATCTATATGTTGCACTTGTAAATGTGCACTTTTTAATTCTAATTGCCAATTCATAAATATGGTAGGTCTTTACATTTTCTAGTGTCTTCTTCAATTTCTTCAGTGTTTAATCATTTTCATTGTAAAAGTTTTCTGCTTTTTGGTCATATTTGTTTTTAGGCATTTTTGAAGCCATTGTTTCTGGTATTTTTTCTTGGTATTATCTATTGTATGTATATAGAATGGCTACTGACTTTGGCAGGTTGCTTTAATATCTTGTTATTTTGATGAAAAAATTTAAAATCAAATTTGTGTGCTGATGAAAGATTTAGTGCTATTCCATTTTTGCCTTTATTGGTGAGTTGGTGCTTTT